TATTTATATTTATATTAATTTTATCTTTATATACAAATACTGCACAAAAAGCAGTATTTCAAGATATGGATTTCTTTACAAAGTAATAATATTTTGTAATAAGAATAAATTAGAAAGTATCAATTGCCAACATTATCATTATAACAGTCTTAAAAGTTTTACTTATCCCAGAGTCCGACTTCTTTCATACGCGTTTGAAAGTATTTTTCCAGAGCATTGGCACAACGGTAATATTCAGTGTCAGGACTATTATATAATCTACAGTTAGTGAAAATCCGTAACATGTCTGCTATAAATAATCTCTTTATTACATAGTATCCTGAATTCAAGCGATCTTGCATCGTCTTGAGATCTACACGAATAAATACATTTTATTACATTGGGGTTTCTTATATTCAATTGGCTTTTTTCAAATAATGAGACCAGATAATCACATTTACAATATACAAGATTTTAAATAGTAAAATATATGAACATTTTTCTTAACTCACCCATAGGATATTTTATGTGGTCGTAGTAATCTGGTACATCATTTTTATCTACAGGTTTCAAAAAAGGCCACGCTGTGCTGTGTTTTTTCACACTATTCAGAACACCATTTAATGTATTACATAGAGAATCTGGAACCTCTAAATTCGTGTCCATTGATTCTGGACCTTGCATTCCTTTCGTTACACCTCTCGTTCTGGTTTGAGCGCAACTTTTCCATCCGGTTTCATGAATTCCTGGAATACACTCGATGGGGATTCCCCTTAAACCTTCCTTAAAACATGTTAAGCCGGGATGCACTTTCTGTATTTCTTGGTGTCTCTGATGAATCAGCTTTTTCACTATTTCCTTCTGTTTTCTGATAACTGCCGTAAATTCAGTATATACAATTTTTGGATTTAGCTCGCAATGCATTAATGTCGCTCCCACGTAATATTTAATGTACCCTTGATGCACCGATTTCGGCAGTTTTATATCTTTGCTAAATCCCTGTTTCTTAAAGTATCCAATAGCAAAATCATCCGCGAATGTAAGAAAATGCAGTATGTTGTTCTTAATGTGATAATCTTTCAACATATTCATTAAGTGCGTTCCGTAGCCTTTTACTTGCTCATGGCTTGTAACAGCGCAAAACACTATTTCTGTAAATCCTTGAGTTGGAAACATACAAAAACAAATCCCACCAATTGGGCGACCGTCCTTTATCAAGGCTAGCGTTTTATGCTTTCTGTAGGACAAAGAATATTATTGAATACATTTGTACATAAAAGTATTTAACATTGATACTAAATTGTCATTACTCACGGATCAAAAACAAGTTGAGTAATGTATTCTTTGGGCGTTCTTGGTAATTGATGACTGAATACATCTTGTAACCCTATTAGCCAAAGCATAGTTTGCTTAGACACTGGCCGTGTCAAACTATTTCCGACTACATGAAATTCTATTATCTTTTTACTTTCTTCCATCTTAGCAGTTTCGTCCCGTGGCACGTTTGGTGGAAATACTGCATCAGAACCAGACATATAATTAGTGTCATTAATAGATGCAACAATTTCAGCAATGGTCTCATCTGGCAGATCCTCAAAAGTTTCTTCATTTTTTCGCCTCTTTGCCTCAAGGCGTCCTTCAGCATTAGGACGTTTCTCCTGAATTTTTTTAATTCCAGGGCTAATATTTATTGTTGTAAAATTGTCTTTTTCATTAGGAGTGACAGTAACTTTTTCAAATTCTCCCGTTTTTCTTGCTTGGTGAGCTTTTGATTCCAGGGCAGTTTGAAAGTGAGAAGGTGGAATTTGTTTAAATTCAGGATCCCAAATGGGAGAGTTGTCAGAATAAATTTCTATTTCTAACGTTGACAAAAACCTTGAATAAAATATGATAATTTAATTTGATATTTACAAGTTTTATATATATAAGAAATAAAAAAGAGATTTAGAACATACTTGGGAAAGTGTGTTAAAACTAAAACTCTTTTTTCCGGTGCAATTTTATCTCTTTCATTATTACACTTATCCATTAATTGTCTGCAAACTGATCTAAATACAGCTTGTAATAAAGTTTTCCCAAAAACCAAAGGAGTATCATAATGTGGTAAGGAGTCACAAAATGCAGGCACATGACAAAAAACAAGCCAGCGGGTATAATTAATTTTATAAGCAGGAGCCTCATCTGTATTAATTGTTAACCGTCTGGCACTAGGTGCTTCAAAATTCCAAAAATTCAGGCAGTGTAAAAGCATCTTTGCCATGTCATACATAATCTGCCATTCTCTCGACGGCAAATGACTAAATTTATACAAAACAAAGTTCATTACTGCTTTCGCTATATTAGGTCTTTCAAAAGGTGGTTGCCCTAACGGGCCTTCCACAGTTGGCTTTGTCATAGACAAGATACAATTTCTCAACAATTTGTACAAATAAATATATACTTTCTTAGTATCAGGATCTACTTCCCTGTGCGTACATGCAAAAATATTGTCAGCATCGATAGCCATTCCCAATAATCGATTGATTTCCTCGTCAGACTGAACTGGTAAATGTTTGATATGATTTTCTAAAGGATGAGTACACATCTTGCATGGATCGAAAAAATTTATAACAGGCTGTTGTATCTCGCCCTTTGGTGATTTTATAATTGGTTGAGCATTTTTCCAGCCTGTACATTTACATTCCTCTACTTGACAAGCACTGTAATTTGCAAGCTTCAACAGTTTTTTTTCTTGTGGCCAGTTGTATGTTTGTTGCTTGCGTTGATGTATCCTTTGGAGATTACTTGTACGATTTACTTGAGTCTGCGGCTTAGCTGAATTTGCATCCTTGGTATTACTTTCTTGTTGTAGATTACTATTGGCAGATTGTCCAGTCTCTTCCGAGGAAACAGTTGCATGAGAATTGATGTCTTCTGATGCCATTCTACAAAAAATCATTATAATATTCATGTTATGGATTGAACAAGTTGTACTTGTGTAGGAATCAGTCATATCAATCGTATAATCGTAATAATTTGTTAGACAACTTACATGAACTTATACACACATTAAAAAGTTCCTTCTAAAGTACAAGGAAATTAAATCGTAATTTTATATGAATCGAATTAATTATACGTTTCTACTCTCAGTGACACTTATACTCAACTATTCAATAATGATATTGTGATTTAAATAAACAATTACGATATCCGCAGATCTTTTATGTCGTTATAAACTAGCATTCTCTACGATTCTCTACAATTTCTTGTGTTATTATTATATCGATATATAGGACAATTTGACAGATTAGGTTAGGTTATATGAACTGCCTCCCCCCAGCTTCCTACACACCGATACATTTATGCTTCATCAAGAACGTAGCCATATAACGCATGTCCACGCAATCGTGGTTAATTTTGTTTTTTGGAAATAATAATAATATATACCGGAAGATGATTGGTTATTGTGTGAACTTTAAAATATTCTTTCAATCTCTGCCATATGGATTTAAATCTTTATTTGTGCCTGTGTGATTTAAATTCGCTCTAATATAAACGAATTTCCGTGAAATCTGAATTTTTATTATATTAGATTTATATATGCAGTATTTTAAATTCAATTTTAAATTCAAAAATTTCACAAGCAAAGAAAAAATTTTGATGTAGTTATTTTTTTTAGCCAACTTTCCTAAGCTAAAGCGGCTACTGTCCTAAGCTAATAGAGGAAAAACAATAAACAACAAATTATTATAATTTTTTGATCTTTTTTTATATTATAAGATACAAAAAATTCTATTTGTCCCATAGACCAATTTCTTTCATACGTGTCTGAAAGTATTTTTCCAGAGCATTGGCGCAACGATAATAATCGGTTTCAAGACTATTGTATAATCTACAATTTGTAAAAATTCGTGTCATGTCAGCAATAAATAATCTTCTAGTTACATAGTATTTAGACTTCAAACGATCTTCCATAGTCTTGAGATCTGCAATATAAAAAAATCATGTATCATTAGTTCCTGATTTATTATTAAGTTTTTCCATTTTAACATTTTTTTTAAGTTTATATTTAATATTTTATTATTAAAAACTATTTTGATTTTTATAATGTCTTATATCTTCTATTCTCACCCATTGGATATTTTATATGATCATAATAGTCTGGAACCTCGTCCTTGTCTACAGGTTCCAGAAATGGCCAGGCTGAGATGTGATTCTTCACACTATTCAAAACACTGTTTAAAGTGTTATAAAGAGATTCTGACATATCCATACAATCTATAAGTTCCGAACCTTGCGTTCCTTTGACCACACCTCTTGTTCTTGTCTGAGCGTAATTCTTCCATCCGGTTTCACGAATTCCTGGAATGGATTCGACAGGAATACTTTTTACACCATCTTTAAAGCATGTTAAACCCGGATGAATCTTTTGTATATCCTGTTGTCTTTGATAAATTAATTTTTTAACTATTTCTTTTTGTTTTCTTAATACTGCTGTAAATTCAGTATATACTATTTTAGCATTCAATTCACAGTGCATCAATGTCGCTCCTTCATAATCTTTGATGTATCCATGATACATCGGCTTCGGCAGTTTTATATCTTTGCTAAATCCTTGCTTTTTAAAATATCCAATAGCAAACTCATCCGCAAACGTAAGAAAATGCAGTATGTTATTTTTGATGTGATAATCTTTTAGCATATTCATTAAATGTGTTCCATAGCCTTTTACTTGCTCTTGGCTCGTAACAGCGCAAAATACAATCTCAGTAAAACCCTGAGTAGGAAACATGCGAAAACAAATACCGCCAATTGGACGACCACTTTTTATCAGGGCTAATGTTTTATGTTTCCTGTGTGATAAGGAATAGATTATTACTAAATAAATTTTTACAATAAATTAACATATTATTTTTGGATAATACTCACGGATCAAAAACAAATTGAGATATATATTCTTTGGGCATTCTAACTAATTGATGACTGAATACATTATGCAATCCTATTAACCAAAGCATAGTTTGCTTAGATACTGGCTGTGTCAGACTATTTCCGACAACATGGAACTCTATGATCTTTCTGCTTTCTTCAATTTTAGCAGTCTCATCTCGTGGAACATCTGGAGGAAATACTGCATCAGGCCCATACATATAATTGGGATCATTAATAGTTGCAACAATTTCAGCAACAGTTTCATCTGGCAAATCTTCAAAAATTTCTTCATTTTTTCGTTTCTTTGCATCCGGTCGTCCTTCGAAATAAAAACGTTTTTCAGGAAGTCTTCTTATTCCAGGACTAATGTTTATCGTTGTATAATTATCTTTCTCGTTCGGTGTAATAATAACTTTTTCAAATTCTCCTGTCTTTCTTGCTTGTGCTTTTGATTCTAAGGCAGCTTGCACATGAGACGGTGGTGCTTGTTTAAATTCAGGATCCCACATAGGTGAACTATCAGAATAAATCTCAGCTTCTAGAGCTGAAAGAAACCTTAATACAAAGAATTATGTAATTTTTGTTATAATTAAAAATAAATATAAGGAGATAAAATTTAATACATACTTAGGAAAATGCGTTAAAACTATAATTCTCTTCTCCGGTGTTATTTTGTCTCTTTCATTATGACACTTATTCATTAATTCTCTACAAAGTGGTTTGAATACGGCTTGCAATAGAGTTTTTCCAAAAACTAAAGGAGTATCATGATGTGGTAAGGAGTCACAAAATGCAGGCACATGACAAAAAACTAACCAGCGGGTATAATTAATTTTGTAAGCAGGAGCTTCATCCGCATTAATTGTTGCTTGTCTGGCACTGGGCGCTTCAAAATTCCAGAAATTCAGACAGTGTAAAAACATCTTTGCCATATCACACATAATTTGCCAATCTGCCGGTGGTAAATGACTAAATTTATATAAAACAAAATTCATTACAGCTTTTGCCATGTTAGGTCTTTCGAATGGCGGCTGTCCTAATGGACCTTCTATAGCTGGCTTTGTCATAGACAAGATACAATTCCTCAATAATTTATATAAATAAAAATACACCTTCTTAGTATCGGGATCTACTTCCCTATGTGTACATGTTAAAATATTATCTGCATCTATAGCCATTCCCAGTAATCTGTTAATTTCATCATCAGATTGAACTGGTAAATGTTTGATGTGGTTTTCCAAAGGATGAATACACATCTTACATGGATCCGAAAAACTTATAAGAGGCTGCTGTATTTCACCCTTTGGTGATTTTATAATTGGTTGTGCATTTTTCCAGCCTGTACATTTACAATCCTGTGTTTGACAAGCACTATAATTCGCAAGCTTTAACAATTTCTTTTCTTGTGGCCAGTTGTAAGTCTGCTGCTTGCGTTGTTGTATCCTTTGGAGATTACTCGTTGGATTTCCTTGAGTCTGTGGTTTACTTGAGTTTACATCCTTATTATTACTTTCCTGTGATATACTAGTAATAGATTGTCCAGTCTCTTCTGAAGCATTTAATATCGTATGAGAATTAACGTCCTCGGATGCCATCCTTAAAAATATGATTGTTATATATTAAGAATTATAGTTATATATAAGTTATTCTCTAGCCGTAACAATAATCACCATAATTTTTAAAAGCAGAATAATATATATACTTATTAACTTACATAAATTTCTGTTATAATATAAAATATATATAATATAAAGAAAATAAGTTGCAATTTGACACGAATCAAGTTACATTTTCATTCTCAATTCTGTTGTTGGCTTACGTATTGAATAATAAATATCGTATAATATTTTGAATTAAATGGTCGTTTACGATGTTTGTAAGTTATATATATATTTGTATTTTTTTATTATTACAGCCACATTTTTTGTTTGTTAGTATCGTTGATTTAAAGCATAATGCTCCAACCTTTTGGGGGATTAGGTTAGGTTATGCACGCGTATGTATACACTAGATCTGTTCTTTTTCCATCTCAAGTTGGATTCTGAACTGATGTTTAGAACAAGTTAAAGTTATAGACAGAGAGAAGAGACAGTTACAGTTTATTTCAGTCTAACTTATTGCACTAGTTCAGGAAGCAAATTCTTCTTGGAGAGGACGTTTTAGTTTGGAATATACTCCAAAACTAATTCAAAATTCTTCAAAAAAGAACAGACCTAGTGTATTGAATCAGTGTAAATGTGTGCACGTACATACGCATGTATATATATTTTTACGCATCTAACATTCCAAATTTCGAACTGCTTGTAAGTGCTTGTAAGTCTAAAGAAATTCGCGTATTGGCACATTAAAAAGTGTTACTGCTCTCAAGAGGAAATATAATATAAAAAAAAAGGTAGAAATCGCTAAGTATTAAGAGAAGAAAATTACAGAATAGTAAAACAGTTCGTCACGTTAATTTAGGTTAGGAATTCATAGCACAGTTCAGAGCATAGTTTTATTTCACGTTACACAAAAAAATGGCAGAGAATTTTGGAAAGGAAACCTCATCAATTTATAACGAGGAGACAAAGACTGCAGGACAACCATTATCAGATTTCTTGATGCAATTGGAGGATTATACACCTACGGTGTCTATCTATCTTCTTTATAATATAAATTTTTCTAAAAAAAATTTTATTTGTACTTGAGCAATTAATTATGTTTGTTATTTTACAATGTACATTAGGTACCTGATGCCATCACTGAACATTACTTACACACGGCTGGTTTCAATGCTATAGATCCTAGGATGTAAGTACAATCACAATATTGTGTTTAAATCATCCTATAGTTACAAAAGTTTCGTTGACTAAACATGTAATATTTATTTAGTAAATTTATCAAATAATGTTACATATTGTTATATGACTTCTTATTATTTTAGAATACGCTTGGTGTCATTAGCAGCACAAAAGTTTATCTCAGAAATTGCCAACGATGCACTACAACATTGTAAAACACGTGGTGCCAATCAGAATACAAAAACAAAAGGAAAAGACCGACGTTATACTCTGACTATGGAAGATCTGACACCGGCAGTTGCGGAATATGGTATAATAGTGAAGAAACCACATTATTTCGTTTAATTGAATAAACTATGCAATTTGATGTGTTTACATCAGATCAGTATGATTAATAATAGGTAATTGTATTTTCGTGCAAGTTTTTCATCAGGAATCAATATTAGCATACATATAAAAAAATATATATTGTCAAAAAAGGAAAAATTCATGTTCACATATATATTAAATTAATAGTTAAAATATAGATTTATAGTTCTATCTCATTAAAAATGATGCATTATTGTATGAATAATGTCTCTATCTACCAGCGATTAACTTCAATTCAGTTTAATTTACTTTTTATCTAGTTATTTACTCTTTTTCTAATTCTGTATATATATATTAACAAAAAGATAACAAATAAATTAAATCAAGAATAAAGTTAAAAGAGGACATAGGTCTCCTAAAACATCTTAATGTCGTAATTACAAATATTTAATGACATAGATACATACATCCTTTACTATATTACTGTATCATTGCTAGTGTTAAAAATGTAAAAAATAAATTTAATATAATAAAAATCATGTACTGTATCAATTTGTGTTTTAATAATATTTAATAATATTTGAATAATATTTAGTTTTAATAAGAAAAAAATATCCATTTCTTTTTATTAATTTGAATGAAACATATATAAAATATCTTATAAATTATTAATTTTTTGATAACTGTTAAAATAATATGTACAGAAATAATATATACAGAATAATAAGATAAATCAATTAATGTAAAAAAATACATTGTTGCTTTAAAAAATATATACAAATTGTATATCTTGCAAAAATCATAGTCATAGTATGGAATAGAACCAAAAGATCATGGACATAAAACATATGTTATCCATCAGAATATTCATGGATATGGCTATGTAATTCAGTTTGTGCATCTAGAGGCGTTAATAGACGAGATTTCGTGGGGGTCATCTAACCTAAAAATTAAATGGAACATGGCACATCTTGTGTCAAAAGATCAAAGAGGAAAGATTGAAGGCATTTTAAATGGTTTCTTCATTACCTGAAGGGAAATAATATAAAAAAAAATGCGAACTATTCAACTCTAGATTTCTATAGGTTTATTTCTCTCTACTCGAATATACATTTGCATGTAATACAACATCCAGCAGACTAGCACAGAACAGACATCCAGCGACATCTCGTATATTGGTGAAATTCCTGGATACAAAAATATAAAATCCCATAAAAAGACATGCGGTGAATCAGAATAAGTAGTTGAGGATTGTTTGCGAAGAGGTTGGTTTTAAACAGTGTTTTCAATTAATGGGCACATCATTCGTTAAACAGAGTAGTGTCAAAATGAGCAAGTATGTACATATTTTTAATACTGCGATTAACCTAAACTCAATTACTTGCGTTTTACATAACAAATATCTTTTGCATCAGTCCTGAGAACAAAGAACCAAAAAAAGATCAAGTCAAGCAAGGTCAGTCAAACAGTAATGCGCGACCGCTTTCCATCGAAGGCCCCTCGACCTCCAATAACGCCGAACGACCTCAAATTCCACCGCAACCATTACCAAATCAACCGAGGCAACCAACTAATTTGCAAGGATTACTCAAGTATGCTATGGATGCAGCACAGTCTGACGATCTGGAGAATAAATCGCAAGTTTATCCTTTGGACGAAGAAGTACGCAATTTAATTTAAAATATGTGCTATTTGTTTGTTTATTTACATACATCTACATTTAATAAGATACATTTATATTTTGTAGAAAAAAACATTCTTAAATGAGGCATTATCATCGTTAACAGTGAACGTAATAGAGGAATTGCAGAAAGCTATACAAATTTTGTCTAATGTTAACAATCTACGAGCAGATGATGATTCGTTGGAGTATGAGAATGTATTAGAAAGGATGGCAGATTTTGTAGATAATATCGATATAGCTAATGACTTTTATAAGATCGGAGGTTTCTCGATATTTCAACCATGCTTGAATTCCTTGCACAGTAATATTAGATGGCGAATAGCCGATATTATCGCCGAATTAGCACAAAATAATCCGTTTTGTCAAGATAAATTATTAGAAGCCGGAGTATTTCCTATGTTATTATCTATGATTGATACAGATCCATCGGAACAGGCCAGGATAAAAGCTCTGTATGCAGTGTCATGTAAGTAATTATATGACATAAAATTAAATTTTTTGTGTCTCATTGATTATATTTTGAATGTAGGTATAGTAAGAGGACATCCAGCGTCATTAAAGTATATAGATATGAACGATGGTTACTCGGTGCTATTACGGGCAATGCAGAGCTCAATAGAGAAACTACAGATAAAGTCCGCATTCTTACTTTCTAGCTTATGCAGTAGAAATAATGCGAACGATGTAAAATATATTTTAGTAAAAATGGGATTCATAGAGCAAGCAGCAGGATTATTGGGTAGAATGAATTTACAGCCGACAGTCAGGTAACTTATTTGACATTTTAAGGAACATACAAATTTTTAATATTTTTGATATATTTAATATATTTTCCTAAGATATAAATCCAGTATTCTTTTATTGTAGAGAACAATTATTGAGAGTGCTCAGTGGTATGGTAAACGATAACTTTTTACCGGCACTGAAGGAATGTCGTCGATCACAATTGTGTTTAAGATCCACTTTGGAGCAATTGTTAACAGAATTAAAACCTGTGGAAAATCAGGACGAGATTGATATGTGTTCTGAACTTCTAGACAAAGTGTTTTCCGAATCTGACACGCTTCAAGAGAGATAACGAATTTGTATTATAATCTTTCCTTTAAATAAACAGAATCTTGTTTTGTAATTCTAATATAGGTCTTATAGTTTTAAATAATTTGAAGGAATGTGCATAGGTTCTAACTGACAAATAAAACTATATATGTTACATGTATCAATCAATCAAATAAATCACCAGAATATTTTATTCTGTGAACCAACATTTAGATTTTTGCTCTGCGATCAGATAAATTAGACAACTGACGAAATTTGTTTTTGAAATCCTTCACGTTCCGGGTCGCGCGTAACCTTCCTGTATTTCAAACATTTAAACACGTGCTGTTGAACCAATTGTCTCTACCAGATACTTTGATAATACGAATCGACACGTCTTCAGACTAATTCGCTCAACTGAATGCTCACGCACATCCGGTGCGTCAATCTGGCGGTTCGTTTCATCATCCATCCCCACCATGACTCCTGCTGGCGTGTACTTTTCTCTGTCTTCCTCGATTCGCGCTGTACTCTCTCTTCCTCCTGTCAGCGCGCATCTGGTCTAGTTCGCCAAATACTAACCGGCTACCACGGCTACTACAGTCAGCCGGCAGTTCTCATCGGACCTTTATCAAGTGATTCGCCTTTCTTTCGAGATTCTCCAAATGTCTGAGAAATACTTGAGCATACATTTAATCAAGATCACGGGACAGTTGTCGAAACATCGATTTTCTCGAAACGGATTTCCCCGACCGACTTGGACTCATTTGATCCAAAATCGATTTTGAGGATTCAGCTCATCATTATAAAGTAAATACGTGGACAATCAGGATGACGCGAAAGAGGAGCATCTCATCGTTATGATATCCGGTTAGTCGAAACGTCTTGCGAATTAATAAATTGAAATCACCGCGAGTTATCCGCGGATGATCCAGAGACGCAAACGCATGCATTAGCGCGATGATCGAGGATTAATCATTTAAAGTGAAACTTGTTTAAAGTGAAATTTAAATTGTT